TTGAGGATCACATTTTCAAAACAAAGTAGTAGACAGATTAATGAATAAGTTTGAAATCAAGCATTTATTATCTATACCCTATCATTCTCAAACTAATGGATTAGTTGAGAGATTTAACAAAACATATAGCAAAAACAACAAAAGATTTACAAGAATGGGATACTGTCATAAATTCAGTATTATTTGCTTATCGAAATGCGAAAAACTCTACTACCGAGTATACACCATTTTATTTGACTTATGGAAGAGAAGCTAGACTTCCAATCACCATTTTTGAAAAAGAAACTTTGGAATCAAATTTAGAAGATTTAGAAATAAATCGACAGAAAGCAAAGGAAAATGTTACAAAAGCGCAGGAAAATCAAAAGAGACGGCATGATTCAAAAATAAAGAAACCTGAAGATTATCAAATAAGAGACAAAGTCCTATTATATGAAGCTGCAAAAGAAAAGACTTGGACTGGAAAATTAGAAGATAAATAGAAAGAACCATTTTATATTCATGTCAAATTGTTGAATAGAGCTTATAAGTTAAGATCTACAGATAGACGAATTCTTAAAACACTAATCAACGCAAGTTTGTTGAAGATTTATAATGATTGACAAAATTGGAACCCTGTGATTCATTTAGAATAAACATTGTCAAAAGTATAAAAAGACCTGAAATTCTTTTGTCAAAACTTTAAATTTTACAAAATGAATTTTAAAAATTTCTAACAATGAATCAGTTCATCAATAAATACAAATCTGACGTTGAAAAAGTTGAAAATGCAAGACATATAATCAAAGAAAATGAGGCCAAACTTCTTTTAATCATACTCGACCTTTGGGAAAAAACTAATTCTGAAGAATTAATTTCCATAATGGATGAAGTCTATCAAGAGAACACTGAAGTAGAACTTGTTAAAAGCGAAATTCCTAAAGAACTTATTAGGAAAAGAAAAATGCAAAAGGAGTACGCTCAAGAACTTGGAATTACTCCATCAGCTTTATCCAAATATATTAAAAGAAGAAAGAAAGATTCTTCGACAGACTCAAATCAAAGAAGAGGGAAATGTAACAGTGTAAAATTTTGGCTAAAATCTGATTACAAATCCAATATCAATTAAATGTCCTTGTTTATCATCTCATCGATCCTGATGTCAACTTTATGTCCTGAGATAATCAATGTGAAATATTGTAGATCTAGATGTCAATTTTATTTCTAGTGTAAT